AAAGAGGTTTAGCTTTAACTTGTGGTCAGGTGTAAATTACAAACATGAGATGTTAACTTGGAATTATCTGAAATGCTTCAGATGGCCTTAACTACCAGCAACTGATGCATTTTATAGATACACCCCAGAATAAAGTACATAAGGTAATGAAACCCAAACTAAGATGGGTTTATTTTCTTTCATGCAGAGAAATAGTCTACAATCCCAGAGTGAAAAAGAGTTCCGACTGTGATGATGACAGATTTTACAGGAGAGCATACGGTAATGTTGGGATTTACTAAAATAGAGGAAACTGGTTTTAAATGGAAAATCTCATAAAGACTAATACTTACACTGCAGTAGTGTTTCAAATATGCCAACTGCTGTAAAAAAAGCTAGCTGAATTTACAGCTGCAGAGAATCTTACAATCCAAACAGAAAAGTGGGGAGGAAGGGAATGAGGGATTCTTTTTTTCGGGAAAGAGGGATTCTTTTTTTCCCCAACAGTAATTTTTTTACATCAAAATACTAATTGTAAATGCTGCTAGAATAAACACCCTTGAATATTGTATTCATATGCAGACAATGAAGCATAAGCAGCAGTCAATGCTGATTTAGAACTTACATTTGCTAAAAAGAAGTAAATGCATTATGCTGCTATGATTCGATATCTAGAACAATCTATAGCTGCTTTTTAATTCTATATATGGCATTACTACAATAAAATCAGTCCTCCAAACTATTAAGTATATGACTCTAAGGTGCTATTCAAGTGAGCTCTTAAGTGATAACCTACTATAAATTGCTTCAAAACTTTTCAGTTTGCACCTTGAAGGCAATTTTAGGAAGGGAAGTCATACCTATGCCTGATGTAAAACTGTTATTTTTTTGTTTCTGCTTCCTGAAATCTTCAGAAACCTTTCACAATGCTTTGTAAAGTAGACATTTAAGTAGATGTTCAGTATTACATACACAGGGTTTAATTTGGAATCACGTATCCTTGTTTTGTTTTGGAACTGAAAAAGCAATGTTGTTGCTAGTAGCTGAACTAAGAGCATAGTAACTTCCTGTTCATAGTATGTTGGGAAACTACAGTCTCCAACCTTTTAGGGGTCAGGAGAGAAAGGGAGAGAGAGAAGTGCTGGACAGCATACCACGTGGTGAGGAAACTGCATTTACCTATTCCTAATTGTTATGAAATGCTTCCTCTGTGCTTCACCTTTCTCCACAGACATCTTTCCTTAAACTATGCCCATTTTTCTCCCGCTTCATTGCATGGTGAAAACAACATGAATATGGGTAGCTTCCTCCCTACTAAATATGACCTCTTTTGTGCTAATTGCCCATATTTCAGTAGTATAGAAAACAGACTGTCCTCCTATCTCCTTTCACGCCTTCCTGCAGAATGAAAAAATGATAGATGAACGCGTGCACTTGCAACTTCTTTGTGCAATTTCCATTCCAAGAAACTGGCAAGACAGTAACTGGTTTATGTATCATAGAATGTGTTTTTTCCCCTTTTCGACGTGTACGTATTCTATGAGATAAAAAAGGAGAAGGTAGCATTTTCTAGCCTACTCTCTATTAATCAGAAGACAGGAATGACCCTGAAGGGATGACTTAACATCTCTGACCCAATGGAGATTGCCCAAAAGGAAAACGTATATGGTGTTGCTCTGTTGAAAAGCAAAGAACTTTTTTCTTTTTTCTAAATTTGGAGTGTAAGAAATAATTTTTAATATGCTAAGGAGCTTACTCAAGGAAACTTGCATTCCGTAAAGGAGTGGGGCTCCAACTCAAGGCACTTAGATGAAAATTTTCAGATCACTTTCTGTCCTAGTAATCAGCTTTATCAGAAGCTACAGTGAGTTTTAACACAGTCAAAATGTCATTTACTGTGTTCTAAAAGCCTCTGTTAGTCCAGCAAGAAAAAGTTAAAGGTATATAGTAGCTCATACCAATGTATTTGCCAAATACAACTTCATAAAAAACATCTGGCAAAAGAAAATTACTGTGTTAAGATGACAAATTCATTTAAAAAATACTGATAAATGTGGGAATTTCATGCTTGCAAATCTCTGCAAATCTTTGTCTCTATTAGGACAAAAATCCTGTAAAAGTAGGATTCCAACCACACCAACGGTTACTCCATGTTTACCATTCTACAGCCAGGGACAGTCAGAAGTAGATTGAAGAGTTATTAGGAAAACAGAAGGTTATGATAAGCTTAATTTTTCAGTTGCATGGAAACCATTTTCTGGTATAATTCTTATCAGTTGATCAGTCATACAAGTTGAAAAATTATCTTAGCGGAAACTAGAGACCTCAATCTAATCTCATGAAAGTCTGCTGCATGGACTTTCTTTTCTCCTGTTCCTGGATCACAGTGGCTAGCTTATTCTGTCATCCATTCCACAATTTCCATGTGGCAAGTGCTTGCAAGGATGAATGAGTAACTAGAGAGATCAGTGTTAATGTACTGCTGTTGGAATTTAGCAATCAAAATCTGTGAGAGGCTTTACAAGCAGCTGGCTTACTACAGACCACCAAGAGGTAGTCCGTATCAATGAGTATTTTGTTTGTGACCACTTTTAAATCTGAATTCTAACACAACAGGTTTTCTTTACGTAGGTGGCATATGGAGGTCTATCACTATATTGACATAGTCTTCTTAATTTGTAGTGGTTACAAATACATCACGAACTAAGCTTGAGGAAACTAATAGAGGGTTCAGAGTATCAAGAGGAACTGAAGTACGACTTCAATATAAACGGGGAACTGAGGCATCTGGATACAAATGAGTCCTTTGTTTTCAATTATTACAAGAATGCACATGAGCAGAATCATAAACGCTATCAAGTTTTGGGACATTTGATTACCCAATATGTTTATGAGCTCCTGGAAAAAGTCTGCAGGCTGCAGAAAGTTTATATCCCTACCGATGCTACAGAGGATGAACCAAGAAGTTTCTTTTTCATGAGCGAGAATGCACTAACAAGTTCCTCTAGCCTAATTGTCCTTCTTCAAGACCGTGGAGTTTTCCGTGCCGGACAGTGGGGGCAAAGGACAATTGTCAGGGAGGATCTGGAGCATGGAACACAAATACCATTCATCAAAACGGCCCTTCGAAGCCACGGGGGAGTGATTGTACTGAATCCCAATGACAACTTTGTTGATCTGAAGACTGAAAAGGAAAGGTTAAGCTTTTCTACCAGGGAAGAATCACTGACTTCTACACAGTCCGTCTGGTGGATCCCCAAGAGGGGCAGCAGCAGCCCCGAGGAACATACCATGTATGTATGGGATCATTTCATTTCAAAGAGCGCAGCCAAGAATGTGGCCTTCGTTGCTCATGGCTATGGTGGCTTGGTGTTCGTTGATCTGCTGGTGCAGAGGAAATGGGAGGTAATGAATAAAGTGTACTCTGTGGCATTCATCGACTCCATGCACAACATACAGCACCAGACTAGAAGCGATCCACAAATACAAGAGTGGATACAGAAATACTGCCGTGAATGGGTGTCAAACAGTAAGCCTCTGGATAAAGCTGTAGGTTCTCTTGTGAAAGTGAATTGTCCTACTGTCTCTGCTGGAACGGAAAAGCATGGCTTAGCACCCTCCTGCTGCTTACACGCCATCTTTAAGTACCTGAAGAGCACACTGAAAGCCAAGACCACAACAGCCTTTAGGCATTCACCTGTTGCAACCAGAAGCAGCACAAGTAAGAAGAGAGGCAATAAATAAAGGTATACTGATTTGTTCTTGATAGTGGTCTCTTCATAACTGCCCCTGCACCTTTCAGTCTTCTAAGGACCTTCCTCTCACTGTGGAGCAACTTACAGTTCTAAGTTTGAAGCTAGTTTCATTTTGAGAAACACACAAATACAAGTTAACTATTAGGAAAGAAGTGTGTTGTTGAAAGCTTTAAGCCACAGCCCTTCAGCTAGCTGTGAAATTTAAAGTTGCACAAAATAAAGATGTTAAGGTATATCAACTCTTATCTGTGTCATTTTTTTAAATTAACATTCTGCAGCTATGGCTCTATAATCGAACTAAACTATCAGGAAAACACTCACTTAAGTGTGTAGCTTTCATTAAAAGGACAAATCCAGAACACGAAAAGCATGTAAAGCGTCTATTTCCTCCCCGCTATATATCACATAGCATTTAAAATCTTTCAAGAGCTGGAACGCCTACCTTCCTCCTTGAAACATTTACTGTTAAGTTGAACAGCACTTCAGAGAACTACATACTACTACCTTCCCTCCAGTCAGAGATGGTATGACCCAAACATGATACAGTGAGATAAAGTAATTTCCTCTTTAAAGTCAACTAAGCCAGGGCATGAGCTGCTATAAAAATACAATACTCTAGCAACCTGCAGTTACCAAACTGATGCAGAAGAATGACATTGCTGTGTTCTCTCAGCTGTTTAATTTTAGACAGAGGTGGGAAATAGACAGTTTTTACATGCCCGTACTCAAGGTCTGCAATTTATACAAGCAGGAGGTCAAATAACCTTTAAAGTGAATGTAAACAAAACAGTTATTCTGAATTTCCAGTTTAATCCTGTGGGAATTAAAAGTGCTCAGTGGCTGCAAAAGAACTTTGAAGGATGACAAAACCTTGTCCTACACCTTCAGTTCCCATCTCAGTCAAAAAAATTGTTGAACAGTAATACTGGGTACCAGAGAAAAGAGAGTGTCAACTTCCCTTTTGTGTTTATATCCCTTTCAGATTTCAGTCCGTCCTGTTATCCAGTAATGGGTGAAAGTGTAAAACTCCATTGGAAAGACACAGTCAGTTGAATGCTCTTGAGAGCAAGCATAGCTTTTTAAATAAAGATAGGTTTACTGTTACTGCATCTGAATGAAAACAGTACTAAATAGACAATTAATAGATTATAGGGTCTTTAGTTCATTTAAGAAAGTTGCACTGGAGATGCCATCATTGAGGATGCATATAACCTGCCTGTTTTGTAGGTGCTGGTCAGCATGCAAGTCAAAGAATAGCCACTTGCATGAATTCTATGCATGAACATGTAGCTTTTTTTACAAGAGAAGTACAAGGTGACAGAATGTCTGTCTCCAGAAGCAGACCAATATGATCCTTCCCCATAAATGCTCAAAGTGTCCCACGGTGTCAGAGGTGGCTAAAAATGTTTGAAGAAAAAAGGGATCTAGAACATCGGCCATTTCCATAATTCTTTATCTCGGGTCAACCCATTAAATTCCTTGGTAGAGAAGGTCGTATTTAGGAATGTTATTGGGATCAATAGGACTTCTCACAATGAGCTTTCCACGCATTGCTCCACGGTAAATCACTTCAATCAGATCTATAAAGTCTTGCTTTGTTTTGAAGCTTCCTACAAATTTGGTATGATCTGGAGACCTAAATATAAGCATAAGATAAAGGTAGAATTGTAAGGTTAAAGTGTTCAAGGCAAAAACCCCTAAAGACAAGAAAAGATGTATAATGAAATTAGGGGTTCTGATTTGGTCATTCTGAAAGAATGAACTGCACTGGTAATGGCATAACCAAGTCAGGAATATACTGTGACCTCCAAAGTCCCAAAAGGTGCAGTATCATGTCTAAGACGTTAACCAAACTATTTTTCGCAGAGTCAGGCATGTTTCACAGCTGACACCTACTTATTGCACCAGAGCATATTTCAAAATACTTCTTAATTTTACGTCCTTCTGGCTTCCTACAGAGTTCTCGATGCAGGTGCTGGTAACAACATTATAGTTTTCAAACATTACCTTTCCCAGACATGGTAACATAGAGAAAGACTGCTAATTCTTACAGACATAATAGATAATGCCAGGTAGGGTGACATACCCGTAATCAACCTTCATGTGTTGTCCATTGAAGAAAAATACAGTAGACGGAATATAACTGATGTCAAAATACTGGGTGTACACTGGAACCTTGTTCACATCCACCAGGTAAATGACTGCCATTTTACTTAGGTCATGAGCTGTCTTTGCAAGCTGAAAAGAGTGAGAAAGATGGATGACCAATGGATTGAGACAAGAGGAAAAAGGGCGGCAAGCGTTATAAAGCCCCTTTCCCTTATGTCTTAGCAGATTAAGCAGGGCTAGAATATCGTGTCTTACCTACTTCAAGCACTTTGTACACCCACTACAATAACATAAAAATTTGCTTAATTTTCAAAACGTTTTACGAATATAGTATTATTTCATTTTGCATTTGTCACCAAAATTTTCACAAGACACTGTATTATCCAAAAGCAAGATATGACATTCTCTTGTATGCAAGATGTATACTAGTAGAGTTTATTTAAAAAAAAAAAAAAAAAAAGAAAAAATTGCTCTTACAATATCATCCAGCTGCAGACAAACAGCATCGCTATCTCTTCCAAACCGGAGAACCAAAACCTTCTCGGCCACGCTTTTTATTGCCTGATCCACTTCCCTCTT